AATATATCTCACGAAAACAAAAAACAATCGCAAAAATAAAAAACAAAAACAAAAAACAAAAACATAATGAGTATTCCGGTTTTTATTAGAGAAAAATACATAATTTCACACCATTTACACTAAACCGGTATTCAAATTACCTCCTTAATTAGTGAACATAATTGCCAACGAAAAATTGAATTATATTATGGAAATGAAGGTAAGCAAAATGAAATATGATAACAGAGGACTTATGCCTGTGTTGAACTAAACCTTTGATATAGTTCCATTTATATAACATTTTCCAGTAAATTATATATCACTATAAGTCTATAAATCTCCCAGGCAGCTAAACTCACTCTTCCTCAAGCTAAATCGTTGCAACAATAGCTTAAACAATATTTATCTGGCAGCAATAATCTAAAAACATATTTTACCTTACACCGTAAAAATTATAATGTATATATAATTCTCCCTATCAGCTAAACTCATCAAGAGATAAAAGTTATATCAGCTATAACCCCAATCTTAATAATCTTCACAGACATTAGAGCTAACGAGAGCTATAATTATCTCAAGCAGGTAAACGAGACTCATGACTCTTGCCTGCCTTGAATAAGCTCACTCAGAACTTTTTTCCAAGTCTTGCCTTTCAGTTTTCTCTAAGACCATTCACAGCTGAGACAATATCCTAAATATAGACATTAAAATAGTGCTATCTCATCTCTTTCTCTATCTCTCTTTCTTTCTTTCTCTTTTATCTCTCTTCTCGGTATCGTTCTTTCGTCTGATCTCTCTCTCAAAAGAATGCTAACGAATTTTGCTAAAAGGAAAAAAATAAATCCTTTCACCTTTTGACACTCAGCAATTTGCATAATTAAATAGTAAGCTCAGCAGAGAGGGAGGATTCTCGACACACACCTCACATCGTAGGTGTTGGTGTTTTGACATACAATTAGGTTAGGTTAGGTTAGGTTAGGTTAGGTTAGGTTAGGTTAGGTTAGGTTAGGTTAGGTTGAGTTAGTAGACAGAAAAACTAACAGAGAATCAGCTAGAAATATCAATGTGTTAGTCTAATAAATCTTTCCCTTATTTGTCATTTGCCTTAATAAATGTTCCAAGCAGCAAACATTTTTACTCTTAATCAATGCTCTTATAATAAATACTCCCCCCTAATCAATGCTCCATAAAGCAAACAATCCCCTCCCCTTAATCAATGCTCCTTATAACAAACACTTTTCCCAATCAATGCTCCTTGTCGCAAACAATCTCCCTCTTCCCCTTTAATCAATGCTCCTCATACCAGTACCCCCCTAATCAATACTCCATAAAGCAAACAATCTCCCTCCCTCCCTTCAATCAATGCTCCCTGTCATCAATGGAACACCGACTCATCTGTTGACAACGCCAGTGTGAAACAAACTGTCATTACGGAAAACAAAAAAGGTAGTGCTTTATTTAATTAGTCTGTTGATCATCGAGCGGTTTAAAAATAAAATACAATTAACACTTTGACAGGAACTAATTAGAAAAAATATATATATATACAGTATATGGATTTTCAGGTACGGCCAGGTACGTAGACTCGGTGAACTATATTACCTTTGTTTTGTGTTCGATAATGATAAACAGTGATGACACGTACGGTAATATAAGTTACGTAGTTAGACTCAAACACCCTGAGTTAGACGTCTTAAAAGTATATTGTTTATTTTAATGGTAATTGGTGTAATAAAATTTGAACAGGTGTAAAAAAAAAACTAAGACAGGTGTGACAAAAGGTGAACAGGTGTAACAAAAGGTGAACAGACAAAAGGTGAATATGTTTAATAAAAGGTGAATGGGTGTAACAAAAGATGAACAGGTGTAACAAAAGGTGAACAGACAAAAGGTGAATATGTTTAACAAAAGGTGAATGGGTGTAACAAAAGGTGAACAGGTGTAACAAAAGGTGAACAGACAAAAGGTGAATATGTTTAACAAAAGGTGAATGGGTGTAACAAAAGATGAACAGGTGTAACAAAAGGTGAACAGACAAAAGGTGACAGGTGTAACAAAAGGTGAACAGGTGTAACAAAAGGTGAACAGGTGTAACAAAAAAGAACAAGTGTCATAAAACTTACACAGCTTCAACAAAAAGTAAATTGATGAAACAAAAATAGAACATAGGGAACAAGATAGACAGACGGACAGAAAACAGACAGACAGACAAACAGACAAACAGACACAGATTGATAGATAGATAGATAGGTAGATAGATAGATAGACAGACAGACAGACAGACAGACAGACAAACAGACACAGATTGATAGATGATAGATAGATAGATGGTGAACAGACAGACAGACAGACAGACAAACAGACAGACAAACAAACAGACAAACAATAGACACAGATAGATAGATAGATATAGATAGACAGACAGACAGACAGACAGATAGATGAGCCGCGATAAGATAGATAGATAGACAGACAGACAGACAGACAGACAGACAGACAGACAGAAAGACAGACATAATACCTCAATATAGGATAAGAGTTTCTTTACCCGTACTTGACAAACATCAGAAACAGAAATTCCCTCTACGCGCGTCACCCCCACACACACACAAACACACACACACACACACACACACACACACACACACACACACACACACACACACACACACACACACACACACACACACACACACACACACACACCCACAGAAATTTGGTATTCAGATTCAAGAAGAACATTACATGACCTACACCCTGATGTAGTGTGTGTGTGTGTGTGTGTGTGTTAGTGACTGGGGTATATTACAAAGTGTATATAAATGAGACAGACAGTGGTTAGAATAAAACATAAACAAACAAAATAAACCCAGAATAAAACAAATAAAATTAACAAAAACACAGAGCTCATTAGTTCCCACGTGTCAACAACAACAACAAAAAAATTGCTCATAAGCGATGTCAGCCGTGAATTACCGAGTGGGAGGAAAAAAAGTATTTGTGTTGTGTTGAAAATCGTCAGAATTCTCTCATCAAACGGAGTAATAATTTGGTCATGGTGGACTTTTTCTTTTAATACTTGGTTAATACAGAGCTGGTTTATGTTGTTGAGAGAGAGAGAGAGAGAGAGAGAGAGAGAGAGAGAGGGGAGAGAGAGAGAGAGGTATTTTATCTCCCAGCTACATCCCCTCCCCCCCTCCCCCACACTCTAAAATAATCGAAACAAATAATCGCTTAATCTGGTGAGACTGATGAGAGTATATTTTTTTTGGGGAGGGGGCACTCATCAGCGGGATCTCAATATTCCCGCTGTTAAACGAGGCATAAATTCCCAAATGCCACATCTGGTACTCCGTCAATTCTTGGTATTTGGGTAGAATAATATCTCTATATACTGTGAGTGGTTGTATTTCAGCATTTGTGTAGAGTATTTATGGGTATATATGTATATGTATGTATGTGTAACTGTGTGTATATATGTACCTGTATATATGTGTGTTTATATTGGTGTGTGTGTGTGTGTTTGTGTGTGGGTCATTATTACTATTACTATTATTACTATTACTATTATTACTATTACTATTATTACTATTATCTATTATTATTATCTATTATCACTATTATTAATGAATCAACAGCTGAACTAATCATTATTTTCTTTTCATTTCAGATAAACGGATGAGAAGAGGCAGAGATGCGTTACGAAAGGAGGAAGTGAGATTAGGAAAGGAAGAATAATATCAAACGTGATGAGAAAGTGGACCAGATATATATAAGAGAGAGAGAGAGAGAGAGAGAGAGAGAGAGAGAGAGAGAGAGAGAGAGAGAGAGAGAGACCCTCACTCTATCATAACCACCCACGTCTTCATAACTGTAGCCTGTTGCTTCCTTACCTCCCCATTTTCCTCTCTCCTCCCCTCCCTTTCTCACCCCTGCTTACCTCCCCGACACCCCCTCTCTTCTACATTCCCTCTTCCCTTCCTACCTCCCTTAAATTCCCTCTTTCCTTGCTTCTACCTCTACACTCCTTCCTTCCTTCCTCTACATACTCTACCTCCCTCCTTACCTTACCTCCTTACACCTTCCTTCCCCCTTCCCCCTTCTTTCCCTACACGCTCTACCTCCTTACACCCCCCTGCCTTCTCTCCCCCCTGCCGCCGACTCCATAATTAAGGACTACCCACACAGCGAGGAGAAAACACCACTACACACTCCCACATACATTGGTACACACACACACACGCACGACGGCTGGTACCAATGGCGTTAACTATTGCTTCTCTAGACTTGTGACCACTGTAGGGCAAGGAGAGGGTGGAGGAGGAGGAGGAGGAGGAAGAAGAGGGGGAAGAAGAGGGGGAAGAAGAGAGGGAAGAAGAGGGGGAAGAAGAGAAGAGAATCACAGTGTCAACGAAAATGCCAAAACACAAGCGGTAGTTAGTTATTCTTACGAAACACAAAGTAACGTAAAGCAGTGTTGTTGGGGAGCTAACTAATTGATCTGGAAAGCTATATAACTGTACTGGGAAGCTATATAATTGTACTGGGAAGCTATATAACTGTACTGGGAAGCTATATTATTGTACTGGGAAGCTATATAACTGTACTGGGAAGCTGAGTAGGTAAGTGTGCTGTCAAGGTAATTAACTGTGTTGGAAAGCTAAGTGCGGTAGGAAGCTAAAGGTGGAGGAAACCTGACAGGGAGTAGTGTGAGGTAATTAGCTTTGTGAGAGAGAGAGAGAGAGAGAGAGAGAGAGAGAGAGAGACGGAACTATAGCTGATGAATTAAGATCGGAGGGGTTAGATTCGGTTCGGTTAGGTTAGATTAGATTAGGTTAGGTTAGGTTAGGTAAGATTAGGTTAGGTTAGGTTAGGTTAGATTGGGTTAGGTTAGGTTAGGTTAGATAAAGACCATTAACAGCACCAGGGGGAAGAAAGCGCCAGAGAGTGACGGTGACGCTCTCTAGTTCTCATTAGTCAACTCCTTCTTACACTAATGATGGCGGTAATTACTAAGGTAATTAAGAGTTGATGTGTGTTGTTTGACCCGATTTGTGTTGTTTATGTAGCTCTTGTGTTGTTTGAGCCACTCTTGTGTTGTTTGAGCCGCTCTTGTGTTGTTGAGCCACTCTTGTGTTGTTTGAGCCACTTGTGTTGTTTGAGCCGCTCTTGTGTTGTTTGAGCCGTCTTGTGTTGTTGAGCCTCTCTTTGTGTTGTTTGAGCCGCTCTTGTGTTGTTTGAGTCGTTGTTGTTTGAGCTCTTGTTGGCTTGTGTTGTTTGAGTCGCTGTTGTGTTGTTTGAGCCGCTCTTGTGTTGTTTGAGCCGCTCTTGTGTTGTTTGTGTTGTTTGAGCTCTTGTGTTGTTTGAGCCACTCTTGTGTTGTTTGAGTCGCTGTTGTGTTGTTTGAGCCGCTTTGTGTTGTTTGAGCATCTTGTGTTGTTTGAGCCGCTCTTGTGTTGTTTGAGCCGCTCTTGTGTTGTTTGAGCGCCCTTGTGTTGTTTGAGCCGTTTTGTGTTGTTTGAGCCGCTCTTGTGTTGTTTGAGCCACTCTTGTGTTGTTTGAGCCACCTTGTGTTGTTTGAGCCACTCTGTGTTGTTTGAGCCAGTCTTGTGTTGTTTGAGCCACTCTTGTGTTGTTTGAGCCGCTCTTGTGTTGTTTGAGCCACTTGTGTTGTTTGAGCGCTCTTGTGTTGTTTGAGCCACTCTTGTGTTGTTTGAGCCGCTCTTGTGTTGTTTGAGCCACTCTTGTGTTGTTTGAGCCGCCTTGTGTTGTTTGAGCCCTCTTGTGTTGTTTGAGCCCTTTGTGTTGTTTGAGCCGTTCTGTGTTGTTTGAGCCGCCCTTGTGTTGTTTGAGCCGCTCTGTGTTGTTTGAGCCGCTCTTGTGTTGTTTGAGCCACTCTTGTGTTGTTTGAGCCACTTTGTGTTGTTTGAGCCACTCTTGTGTTGTTTGAGCCGTTCTTGTTGTTTGAGCCACTTTTGTTTGTTGTTTGAGCCGCTCTTGTGTTGTTTGAGTCGCTCTTGTGTTGTTTGAGCGCTCTTGTGTTGTTTGGTCCACTCTTGTGTTGTTTGAGCCACTTTTGTTTGGAGCCACTTGTGTTTTTTGTTTGCCTCTTGTGTTGTTTGAGCCTGTTGCCTTGTGTTGTTTGAGCCGCCTTGTGTTGTTTGAGCCACTTGTGTTGGAGCCACTCTTGTGTTGTTTGAGTCGCCTGTGTTGTTTGAGCCTCTCTTGTGTTGTTTGGTTTCACCTTGTGTTGTTTGAGTCGCTGTTGTGTTGTTTGAGCCGCTGTTGTGTTGTTTGAGCCGCTCTTGTGTTGTTTGAGCTGCCTTGTGTTGTTTGTCTTTGTGTTGTTTAGTGAATCTTGTGTTGTTTGAGTCGTTGTTTGTTGTTTGAGCTGCTCTTGTGTTGTTTGAGCCGCTCTTGTGTTGTTTGAGCCGCTCTTGTGTTGTTTGAGCCTCTTGTGTTGTTTGGAGCCACTCTTGTGTTGTTTGAGTCGCTGTTGTGTTGTTTGAGCCGCTCTTGTGTTGTTTGAGCCGCTCTTGTGTTGTTTGAACCGCTCTGTGTTGTTTGAGCCCTCTTGTGTTGTTTGAGCCGCTCGTGTTGTTTGAGCCGCTGTTGTGTTGTTTGAGCATCTCTTTGTTGTTTGGAGCCGCTCTTGTGTTGTTTGAGCCGCTCTTATGTTGTTTGAGCCGCTCTTGTGTTGTTTGAGCGTTTTTGTGTTGTTTGAGCCGCTCTTGTGTTGTTTGAGCGTTTGTGTTGTTTGAGCCGCTCTTGTGTTGTTTGAGCCGCTCTTGTGTTGTTTGAGCCGCTCTTGTGTTGTTTGAGCGTTTGTGTTGTTTGGAGCTGCCTCTTGTGTTGTTTGAGCCGTTTTGTGTTGTTTGAGCCGCTCTTGTGTTGTTTGAGCCGCTCTTGTGTTGTTTGAGCCGCTCTTGTGTTGTTTGAGCCGCTCTTGTGTTGTTTGAGCCGCTCTCGTGTTGTTTGAGCCGCTCTTGTTTGCTCATCATTACTCTGGAACCTCACTACGGGTCTCCTTTATTGCTTTTCTTTTGTTGAATTTGGCCCCCATCTGTCTGTCTGTCTGTCTGTCTGTCTGTCTGTCTGTCCATCTGTTTGTCCATCTGTCTCACTGGCTCAACCCAACACTAAAGGGAGGTGAAAATAAACAGAAGAGCATCAAGAATATAGACACATAACCTATAGCATTCTCTGCGTGTAGTGCTGGAACCTATATATCTCCTGAGGCCAATGTACAGGCTATTGGATACTCAATAGTCTCACTGGTTACTGTACACCTGAAGGACGAAGTAGTGCCTCCATTTATAGATCTGGTGTATATGACGACGAACCTAAACCTAATACCAGTTTTATAAGAAATGGTTTAATATATTAGTAACATTAAAAGTCAAGGTTCAAAGTTATTTTTATATACAATAAATATTTTGATAGTTCCTGCCCTCGAGGTAGGGAAATATATCGGATGCTGTCTCAAGGTATATCGGATGGTGCCTCAAGGTATATCGGATGGTGCCTCAAGGTATATCGGATGGTGCCTCAAGGTATATCGGATGGTGCCTCAAGGTATATCGGATGGTGCCGCAAGATATATCAGCTGGCGTCTTTAAGTAAATATATACAGAAAAAAAAATAAAAAATATAAACTTTCTTCCCACGAGGCTACAATACAAAATGTTGTTTTTTTTAATTTATTCAAGTTAGGTTAGGTTATGTTAAGTTAGGTTAGGTTAAGTTAGGTTTGGTTAGGTTAGGTTAGGTTAGGTTAGGGTTAGGTTAGGTTAGGTTACTATAAGATAATTTAGGATAAGGTAAATGGCGTCACAAGTACCTCGAAGACGGTAACATTATTATATAGGAAATTTTCGCTTACGTCAAAAATTAGCCGAGACACCTGACTCTCTCTCTCTCTCTCTCTCTTTACCTCGCCCTAGCTGGTCTTACCACAGTGATAAAAGCTGAAGATTCAAGTCCAGTGATGAATATTCTGTCTACGTAATCCAACACCTGTCGTGGAAATAATGTTACCGAGAGAGTGAGAGAGAGACAGGGAGAAAAAGACGCAGACAGGCAGAGAGATAATAAAGGAGACAGGCGGACACAGAATGAGAGACAGGCAGACAGACAGACACAGAGATAAACAGGGATGCAAAATGACACAGAATGAGAGATAGACAGACACAGACAGAGATAGACAGGTTGATAAACAGACACAGACAGAGAGGTAGACAAGGGGAGACACAAGGGGAAAACAGAGACAAGTAAGATACCAAAAGATAGAGAGAGAGAGAGAGAAGAGAAAAAAAAAAAAAAAAAAAAAAAAAAAAAAAAAGGAAAGAGGGGGTCCCTGTCTTGTCTTTAAAACTTGTTGAGCCTGAAAAACTTAAGTCAGTTTGATACTCTTGTGAAGGTCTAGTGAGGACCACCCTCTCCCTTCCCTCTCCCTTGGGCCTCCTCCCTCTTTCTGGGCATTCTCCTTCCACCATGGGCAGCTCCTCCTCCCCACCCCCCCCATCTCTCAGGGCCACCTCTTCCTCCTCCTGGGTACATGGCTTCACTCTGACCACACCTAACCTGCCCTGACCTGACCTGACAATACCTAAGCTGACTTAAAACACGAGTTATCCCTAACCAAACCTAAACCAATTCTATCTGTCTGTCTGTCTGCCTGTCTGTCTGTCTGTCTACCTGCGGGTACGTGTGATATTATCTCCCACCGTCGAAAGCAACTTACCAATAGCCAGAAAGAAACAACAACAACAACAACAACAAAAGATAACGATAAACAAAGAAACAGACATCCCCACTCCCCCCCCCTTCCCCTTCACCCTTATCCCCTCCTTCACCCTTACCCCAAGAGACTTTATTTATCTAAGGTTGAGGGTGAATTACAGTGGTCCTCGAACGTCCCACCTGAGCCGAGGGATTACCTGGGTTACTCCTTCACTTGTTAGGGACAGGGAGGAGGAGGAGGGGCGGAAGAGGAGGATGAGGAAGAGGGGAGAGATAGGGAGAGTAGAGCAGGAGGAGGAAGAGGAGGAGGAATCCCATCCCTGGAGATATTCTAAATCCTTCTGATAGGCTGCTCTTCCTCCTCCCCTCCTCTTTTTTCTCCTTCCTCCCTCTCTGTTCCTCTGCTTCCTCTTTCTCCTACTCTCCCTCTCCCTCTCCTCCTTCTCCTACCTCCCTTCCTCCTATTGCTCCCTCTCTTCCCCTCCTACCTCTCTTCCTTGTCCCCTCCTCCTCCTACCTCGCCCTACCCTCTCTAGTGTCAGGTATCGACTAGGTGGTGTACCCAGGAACATACTCAGCCATCGATCACTCCAACACTATAAGACTGTCTTAAGCTGTATTTCCACCACCTATTGTTGACACGAGTTGACAACACAATACTCATCCATATTATAAACTGTTTACCTCATATTGTAGTGTCAAGTATTATTGTTTTATTTCCGGGTTAAGTATTATTGAGGCTTATAGTGTGATGGGTCCTAGGGTATTATTTTGATCTAGTTATTATTATTATTATTATATTATTATTATTATTATTTTTATATTAATTGTTATTATCATTACTATAATTAATATAGATAGATATTTGGATGGCTAGATAGATAGATAGACGAACGGAGGAGAGAGAGAGAGAGAGAGAGATCACAATTCGCGACGTTCAAGTGAGTGTTTCCTTCACCCGACAAAAAATTCTTACAATATTAATAAAATAAAATAATAAAATAATAATAATAACAACTTTAGAAAAAATAAACAATTGATGAGAAAAAACAAAACAATGCAAATCCAGAGAAGAAATAAACAAAACAATGAAAATATTACGTGTTTTTCCGTGTTTATTTTCATTCAGTATGTGTGTGTATTTTAATTAGTGTTTAAACAACTGTAAACAGCTATCTTAATGTTTGAAATGTTCTTCCTATAGCCTTGAAAATCTCTCAGACATCTTACACGTGAGAGGTGAGGAAAGAAAATATGAAGTGTGGAAAATAGTTACCCTGTGTGAGGGCATTTCAGAGCTGTTGTTCAGTGAGCTTCGGTTATCAATGTGTGAGACATGACACCACTGAGGCCAGCTGATTACCCGCTGATGACGTCACACTCCTGTCAGCCAATCATAAACACTGTTGATGGTACATGAACGCAGTGACTGGCTGACCGCACCACCAATAGGATGCTGCCAACCAACGTGGTCTCATTTGTCAAAAAG